TCAGATGAGAGCTTAAGCTGAGATCTTGTTTGCCTGTAAGTGGACTTTAAAGGTCTTGTGGCAGTACACCAACAATATACATTGGTATAGCGCCTTTCACATTGGGAGGACGTCCCAAAGCGCTACTCGAGAAGAGTTTCAACAATGCCGAAGATAAAATTGGTCATTCACTTCATGGCTGTATGTGGGATATTGCTGTGTGCAAACTAGCTGCCGAATTTGCCTAATAGAGAGCACACTTCACAGTAAAATCATGTGAAGTGCTTTCAGGTGCCCTTGAGACATGAAAATTGCAACATCAAATGCAAAGATCTAAAAGGACTGCTATCCCAAGTTACTGTACCTATGCCTTTTCAGTTTAAGAAAATAATGTATATTAGCTGTTCATCATTTGTTAAAATGCTTAGCTCTGAAAAAATGTTGACAGCAAGTCTACGCAAAGCCTGTATGTATATATACTATTGTACACACACCATTCTGGCTGAGAGGGAGAACTGTCTGCTCTGAAGCAACGGCTGCACAATTGGCTAATGAGCCACTTAGCCTTAGTTGGTTCACTGAAAAGAGCTAACTATTTAGCTCCATTTCCGTACCCTTTCCATTAGCCTTCTATAGTATTTTTCTTCACAGAAGTCCAATTCCCTTTTAAAACCTATTTGATTTTGGAAACAATCTGATGCCTTCTTTCTACCAGTGAGTGGAAATTGTTTCTCTGTAGTTACCTTATCAAAACCGCCACATATGCTCTATAGGCAAGGAGACACCATTTGGTAATATTTGAGATTGTCAGGAAGTGTTTTCTCTGGGCTAAGAGGCAATGTGTACAAAAATGAGAAGCACATTTAGAATATTTTATTCTCAGAGCAGTTCCTAATCATATCTTGTAGAATCAGGGCAAAGGACAAAGTTTGTTTCTTAGAGTCAAGTGCTGTATCCATAAAATCTCTTCCTCCCCCAAATGCAAACACGCTTCAGCCAAGTACTAAAATCTCCAAGAAGCATGCCGTGCTGGTTAGGTCATGAGAATATTGGGACTCTTACATTTGGAAGTCAGACACTGTGGTGGTGGTGAGGGGATGATGCACAAAAGTTTGCCTTCAAAGCCCTCCACGGCCTTGCTCCTTCCTACCTCTGTGACCTTGCTAACACCATATCAACCTGTCCACTCCCTATGCTTAGCAGGCTCTGGCCTGCTGCATGTCCCCTGCCCAGCCAGCACCATCACCGGCGGTTGGGTCTTCAGCCTCTCTGCCCCCACCCTTTGGAACTCCATACCACAGTCCCTTCGACTCCCTCCCTTGCCTCCTTCAAGACCCTCCTCTTCGATCGAACCTTTGGTCACCCTCCTAGCCCTACCCCCACCCCTCAACTCTACTCCTCCTGATCCCAACCTCCTGCTCATATCCAAATCCCTGACAGTCCAGGGCCTTAGGACATCCTCCCGACGTGAAAGGTGCTATATAAATGTAATTTATTGTTGTTATTTGCAGAACAAAACCCCATCTGATTATACACCAGCAACAATCATGACATTGGGGAAGCAGTACATAAATAATGGTTTATATAAAACACACAAAACTATTGTTGCACAGAACAGAGATTTTACACTGTAAGCCGAAGGGCACATGGAAGTGCAATGACTTATTGATGAGGTAGTGTACTGCTGTTGTAGTAAGATGGAGACATTGAAATCAGCAGAAAATCATGAGTTGGCCCTCTGGGTATTCGCAGAAGCATCAAGCATGGTAGTAGTCATTTGGGTGGGAGGCAAAACCAACTGCTAAAACAGTTAGCATTGTACTATACAGAACTATTTATAGTAATCAAAGGCAAGCTATGATCATTGAGGTCTCAAAGCTCCACCAAGACTTTGGTCAACACCCTGGTGAGGTTAGCCATTCAAAGGATGCCAATTTTGCATCTGGGATGAAATATTTGCAGAATATTGATACAAATGAGCACTTTGAAAGAAGATCTAAAAGCATTGACTTATTAGTGAACAAGAGGTTTGCCTACGAGTCTCTAAAGTGTAACAAAAATAACAAATGTGGGGATTATGTATGGTGCTTATTCTCTATGGTGGTTTGGCAATTGGCTGCTGCGCTTCACCCACAATATATACAGTCAATCCACTTTACAGTATATCCTGTGAAGCGCTCCGAGACGTCACAACAATTTGACAAGGTGCTAGATAAAATGCAAGGATTATTATTTACCTTGAAAGAGGGGATGAAAGGACCAAGTGCGAGGGCTGTGGGAATGGAATTCCTGATAGTGGGCATCAAGTGGCTGCAAGCCACTTGCTGTGATATAAAAACTACAGTACTATATTTGTATCTTTGATGCAATACTTATTTTGAATGTTGTAGATCGAAGGCATATTCAATGTAAAAGAGAAAAAAAGATGAACACCACAGAAATGTTTACATTGAAGTTAATAGCACAGCTACACATGATTTTAAAAAACCACCGTGATCAAAATAAAATTTAATTGGTTGGAGACTAGAATAAAAAGGAAAACAATTCCAAAATGCTGAGTGACAGTGCAATTACATTAGTCACATAAAGATTACGACATTGAAAAATAGAAAATTCCCAAGAGTATCTGTAGATCCCTCTGCACCAAGAATGCATGAGAAACAAAGCACATCTGATAACTGATGACATCAGTACATTAAGATGCAAACACACATTGTTATACAAAGCACAAACTATAGAAATTTGAGAAATGCTTAGAAAACATTTCATAAAGAATAATAATAATCCTTGCATTTGTTATAGCGCTTTTCACGTCTTCTAGACATCTCAAAGCGCTTCACAGAATATACTGTAAAGTGAATTGACTGTATATTTGTGGGCGAAACGCAGCAGCCAATTGCGCACAGCAGTGTGCAAGGACTTTACAATGAGGTTAATTTGTAGAGAGAATATTCAGTTCAATGCAATTGCTTTACTCCATACAGATCAATCGAGATATTTTATCAAAGGATATCTAATAATAATCCTTGAACTTGATATAGCACTTTTCTCGTCTTCTAGATGTCTCAAAACTGTTCACAGAATATACTGTGAAGTAAATTTACTGTGTATTTGCGGGTGAAACGCGGCAGCCAATTGTGCAGTGTCCCACAAACAGTTGTGGATTGAAGTGACCAATTTATTATTGTTTATTTTCTTGAGGGATTATTACTGTATAGGCGTGTGGAGTAAGGAAACTTGCCCAAGGTTTTGCCTTGCCGGCAATCAAACCCAGATCTCTCGCTTGATCTGATTTACAGATCTGAGCTACAGGACTACACAAATATCTGCACAACTTCAAAGCAGAAGTATTATTATTATAATATCAGCGCTTTGGGATGTCCTCCCGATGTGAAAGGCGCTCTATAAATGTAATTTTGTTGTTGTATAATATATCTGAATTCTAGTATAAGGGCCACAATTTCTATATAAGAAAATGATACAAAAATAGGGAGTAAATCTGACAATTATGAGTACTGTAACTCTAAATGGAGATGAATAGACAACTAGAATGGGCGGTGAAACCACAGGTGAAATTCACTGCAGTATAATACGAGGTTATACATTTTAGAAGGAAGAAAGATTCAGATACTAAATGCTAATATTTTAACAAGAGAAGAGACACAGGGGTTAACATACATAAACAATCTATTTCACTATAGAAAAATGTTGTTTTTCCTCACTCACTGAAAGGAGAAATAAGTGAATGCCCAAAGCTCAACAGTTTTAACCCCACATAAATAAACTGCTTATATTACTGTAAGTACGGTAACATAGCCTCAGACGTTCAAATTGTTTAAAGGTTTATTTCCACTGAGTCACAAGTTCAGACTCACAAGGATTTTGTAGTTTTGGCTGGGCAGGTTTTCTCAGATTTCAGCTGTGAAACGAGAACGAATGGCACACAGAAGCCAAGTACAGTATTCTGATAATTACTAGTTATCATAATTATCTTGCCTCTTGATTCCGAGCACACCGCTTTGTTCAGTTCACTCTACTTTGAAAGCAAAGTAGGGTGAACTGAGCAAGAGGAACATTTGCAGATATCCACACTTGTCTTGAGGTGGGGCGGGAGGTTTTTAAAAAATATGAAAAAAAGATAAAGATCAGTTTATGACTTTAAATTATACTTAACTGCCAGTCTCCAAAAAAAAAATCACAGAATGGTTGGATATTTGTGGGCATAACGTGTGCGACTGAACAAAGTTATTAGAGAAAATGGTTATACGGCAATGTTAAGATTTTTTTTAAAAAAATAATCCAGTTCAGTTTCAAATACACCACCGAAACTTTCTCATTTCGGAGCAAATGCACAGTCGGCCTGAAAAACTGCAGCTTACAATTCTGGAAACACACGGTCAAGCCTGCTTTGTGCTTTAATCGCTGAGGTTCCCCACACATCGAGTGACAGCGCCCACTACATATACCCCCACCCCCCCCACCTGGAATAAATACACGTCTCCAAAAGAAAATAGCATCTCAGAATTCACCTCATCCTGTGAAGCGCTTTGAGATGTGATAAGGCGCTACACCAAATGCATGTAACATCATTATTATCTATGATCATCTCTCCTGTCTCAGACCCCCACCCCACCAACCCCTCACCCCCCCCACCACCACACCAACCCCTCACCCCCCCCACCAGCACACCAACCCCTCACCCCCCCCCACCACCACCACCAACCCCTCACCCCCCCCACCAGCACACCAACCCCTCACCCCCCCCCACCAGCCACACCAACCCCTCACCCCCCCCACCAGCACACCAACCCCTCACCCCCCCACCACCACCAACCCCTCACCCCCCCCACCCCACCAACCCTCACCCCCTCACCCCCCCCACCCCCACCAACCCCTCACCCCCCCACCACACCCAACCCCTCACCCCCCCCCACCATCACACCAACCCTCACCCCCCCCCACCATCACACCACCCCCTCACCCCCCCCCCCACCACCACACCAACCCCCTCACCCCCTTACCTGTTTTTCTGCCATTGCCGCCCCGTCTCCCTGAACGATGGTGCTGCTGTTGGTGCTGCTGCTGCTGCTGCTGCCGGCGTTGGGACCCCACACAGCCTCCCATCAAGGAATAACCCACCAACCACACACACTACACCCCTCCTCCTCCCCCCACCCCTCACAGATTCCCTCGGAACAACCCCCGCCCCCCCCGGCCGGACTTTTACAATGCAGTCACCTTAACAGTGGAAACTTTCTGAGTGTAAATGAAGGCGGGAGGAGAATAGACTGAACTACAAGAAGGAGCCGCTCGGGGGGGGGGGGGGGGGAGGGCAGAGGGGTCCAGGGGCTGACAGAGGGGGGGGTGGGGGGTCAGTGGTGGGGGTCAGCTTCCCCCCCCACTCACAGGTAACCAAGGGCAACCGCCCCCCCTCCCCCTCCGGGGCCCGCTTCAACCGCCGCCGACCTGACGAACGCCTTTCATTTTCTCTCTCTCTTTCTCTCTCTCTCTCTCTCCCTCCTTCCCCTCTCGTCCACACAAACCCCAGGCGGCGAGAACAACGGCTTGGAAGCTCTTTCAAAAGTTGGGAGGCGGCGCCGGTCGGTCGGTGGTGAACTCCATTCCCTGTCACAGCCCTTCAGCACCTGACGCCGCCGCCGCCGTCCGTCCGTCCGTTCGTCTGTCGCTTTGAAGCTGCGCGCCTGCGCACTGGAGCCTCCCCACTGGGCGAGGGGCGCTTACCCCGCCCGGTGCATTCTGGGCGCCCGCCCCACGACGTCACCGCACCTGACGCTCCGGGGGGGAGGGAAGCGCGCATGCGCCGGCCGTGTGGCCCACGTGAGGCGGGTTTCACGCCCAATTGGGCGGGTTCTTGGTGTTGTTATGATACAATTTGATCGAACGCCTCATCACGTCTTCGAGACGTCTCAAAGCGCTTCGCAGGATATATTGTAAAGCGGATTGACTGCGTATTGACAGGTGGCGTCCTGTAGCTCAGTGGTTAGAGCGCTCGCCTCGAAAGTGAGAGGACCTGGATTCAATTCCCAGGCGGGCGAAACTTTGGGCAAGTTTTCTGGAGGTAACATTAAAAAATTGGATCATCCAATCCACCACTGTGTGTGGGACGCTGCTGTGCTCAATTGGCTGCTGCATTTCACCCACAAAATATAGTCAATTCACTTTACAGTATATTCTGTGAAGCGCTTTGAGACGTCTCGAAGACGTGATAAGGCGCTGTGTCAAGTGCAAAGATTATTATAAATTATTATTTTGTGGGCGAAACACAGTAGCCAATTCATGCGGCTTTGTCAGAGGAGCCGTCCTTCAGATGAGACGTTAAATTGTGGCCCTGATCTGCATGTTCTTCAGATGGACATGAAAAAGATTATTTGGCAATAATGGAAAAGAAACAGGTATCCTGGCAAACAGTCCTTCAGATTAACTGGTGCTTCATTTCATTCACTTATCCTGTTTTTTGGATACTGTTGGGTACATTGCTGAGTACAAATTAGCTGCCTTTTTTGTTCGCCTTTTTTGTAATGGTACACAGTCACTACACTTGCCAGCAATTCCCTGCGAAGCACTCTGAGACATTTCATTACAGGCACTACATTGGATGCAAGGATTGTGATTGTTATTTAAGTGGCTATATAATAATAATCCTTGCATTTGACATAGCACCTTATCGCGTCCTCCTCGAGACGTCTCAAAGCAATTGCAAGGGTTATTATTACTAGTAGTAGTCTGACTATTGAAGCCCAAATTGTAGTGATGGCACCACCAACCCCAGGTCCAGGGGGTGTGGGGGTGTGGGGGTGGATTGGGACCTTGTCACGTGACGGGGGGGGTTTTTGCCGCCTCCGCGTTGGCTTCACGTTTCCCGGCTGTACCTCGCGCCTGCGCGGTGGATCGGTTGAAGATGGCCGCCGACATGAGTGTGGCGCTGGCGGCTCTGGTGGAGGAATTCGTTACCGGGCAACAGGACAGCGCGGCCAAGGACATAGCCACAGGTAGGGCCCCCGATTATCATTGGCCGTGACTGGGGGGGGGGGAGAGAGGGGCTGTGCGGGAGAGGGGAGGGGAGGGGAGAGTGTAGGCGGGAGGCCCTGCCTGGCCGGCCCGTTACCCTGGCAACGGGGGGGGGGGGGGGGAGAAGAGAGATGGCTCCCCTGTCTCTAGTTTGTCAGCACATTTCTCCCTCTGCCCCCTTTCCTCTTTCTCCCTCTCATTTTCCCTCTCCTTCCCTTCTTCTATGCCCCCCCTTCCCTCTGCCCCCCCTTCCCTCTGCCCCCCTTCCCTCTGCCCCCCCTTCCCTCTGCCCCCCCTTCCCTCTGCCCCCTTCCCTCTGCCCCCCCTTCCCTCTGCCCCCCCTTCCCTCTGCCCCCCCTTCCCTCTGCCCCCCCCTTCCCTCTGCCCCCCTTCCCTCTGCCCCCCCCTTCCCTCTGCCCCCCCCTTCCCTCTGCCCCCCCTTCCCTCTGCCCCCCCTTCCCTCTGCCCCCCCCTTCCCTCTGCCCCCCCCTTCCCTCTGCCCCCCCTTCCCTCTGCCCCCCCCCTTCCCTCTGCCCCCCCTTCCCTCTGCCCCCCCCCCCCCTTCCCTCTGCCCCCCCTTCCCTCTGCCCCCCCCTTCCCTCTGCCCCCCCTTCCCTCTGCCCCCCCCCCCCCCCCCCCCCCTTTCCTCTGCTCACAGTGGAATAGACTAATAAATGATTTACAATTTAGAAGTGAATTCTAACTGTGCTCTAGTTATTAACTATCGTGTGTTCTGGTTTGTTTTAGGTGTCATCGATGGGAAATATGCGGCGCTAGACGTGGTAGAAGCTTTGGGGTAAAGTAATGCTTTATTCTTCGACCTGTTGCTGGCCCTCTGTGTGGTTCCCAGTTCAATTGTGACAAATCTCAGAAACTTCACTATCGTACCTCAGTTAGTCTTTGTGTTGTAAGAGGGACTCAGTGGCTCCTGGGAGGATGTGGGTTTAAGTCCCACACTAGAACATGAGCTCCTATTCCAGACTGACATTCCAGGACCGCTCCAATTAAACATTGCCTTTTCGGACATGCTGAGTTTCGGGTGAGATGTTATCCCAAGCTCCTGTTCTGCTAGCTCAAGCGGCTTTTGAAAACCTGACAGTGCTCTTTCGAAGAAGAACAGGGACTTCACCTCATTGTTGTGTAGGATGTTGCCGGAAGCACATTGGTTGCTGCGTTTGCCTACGTGTCAGACTTTCAGTGCACTTCAAAGTAGCTGATTCCGTGAAGTGCTTTGTGATGTATCATCACGATAAGGCTCTAGATTAAATGCAAATATTTATTATTAATTATTTAAGCAAAGTGACCAATTACGATAAGTAAAGGATACTTTTTTTTCACCCAAGAGGATGGGTGTGTGTACCTCAAAGAGTTAGTGAGTCAACCCTGAAATAAACAGCTTCACCAAGATCCTTGTAAATAAAACACAGCCAGGGGTTAGCACTTGTTTCTTGTAGAATATTTACAGGGCAAAAGATGTAAAGTTTGACCCATCACCTCGGTGCTGGTGCACCGTTCTTGCTGGAGTTACCTTTCCAAATACTAGCGCCCATCACTTTTGCTTACCCTGTATGCGCCTGAAACTCAGTCACATATTTTCTCATTGCCGTCTCTTTTATTTTAACCTGACAGAACATGTCTCACCAATCCTGAGCCCAGAACACGAGGCCGGGGAGTACAGCTTCTCTCTCAAGTCCTGCAGGTCTCATACTCAATCCTCAAACAGAAAGAAGGTAAACTGCAAGACCAAATCCCAAATTTGATATAAGTGAATAAGTAAAACTGGGTAAAGTTTTTATCTTTCATCTGTGCATTTGTTAAGAAAGCCTTGTTGTGTCCACTGGTACTGAATCCCAGAAGGTTGCAACACAGGAAAGATTGTTTGGTCCATCAAACTTGTGCTAGTATTTTCTCCACATGAGCCACCCAGTCTGACCCCACTCTCCCCTTCACTCTAAATACCTTTAAATATTCCTCCTCTTCAAACATCTGTCTAATTCTCTTGTCTCTACTTCAATCCAGTTTTTTTTCAGGGAATTCCTCATTCCCATCAACTTCTTTGTGAAGACTTTTTTACTTTACCTTTCATACTTTGCTGTCACTGACCTGGGTGAGTGGATAATTAGTGTAGAGCCAGCTTTACTGTGTCCCTAACTCGTGCTGTTGCTGACCTTGGAGTACTGGACAGACAGTGTAGAGCCGGCTTTGCTCTGTATATAACTTTTGCTGGAGCTGGTTAGGGAGTGCTGAATGGGATAGTGTAAACTCAGGAGTACTGGATGCTGACACTGGCCAAATGGCATAGCTTTCAGTTCCCTACCATTGAATTCCCTTCTCTTATTGTAGCTGTGTTTTCCTTTGGCTGAAGGAGTTATTTCTGTGAAGGTTATGGACGGCAGAGGAGGGGAGACAGAGAAGCATTTGGCAATTCTGGCTCGCTGCATTGCGTCCATCAGCTTTATTTACAAATGTTTTTCAAACGTGATTCTGTTGACATAGCCAGACCTTGGTGTCCACCTGTGAATGCCCCTGATAGCAGAATGCACTTTGTTCCTCTGAGATTCTCTTTCTAGATTGAACTTCAGTCCTCCTCAAAACTGTGCGAGTGAGAGGGCTGGAGCTGGTGACCTTGGCTTTGGGCTGTTGTGTAAATTTTCTCTCCTGTGGTGGATAAGCATTGCTATTCTATTATCAATATACGTCATTCTTATGATTATTATGAAGGCACAGAGACATTTGAGAAGGGGATTCTTTGAATATAGTTTACTTTGCTCCCCTATCTCGCTGCTCTCAAGCCTCCTTTGCCTCTTGGCTACTGTGTTTTCATAGAGTCAGAGAACGTTACAGTACAGAAACAGACCGTTTGGGTCACCCAGTCTGAGCTGATGTTTTTCTCCACATGAACCCTCCCAGTCTAATCCCCCTTTCTTGATGTGCTTGTCTTTCAGTGGAGGTTCTGACCATCTTCTATATCGATCGGTTAAAGGACCATCACCTCATTACCTCCCACGTGCTTCAAGGAATGAAATTCCTGGTAAGGATGTATTGTTTGTGTATTTATTATGTGGTCGGGGGTGCGACTGATGTGGAAATGGAATACTGTTCACTGTTAGGGTGAGTATCAAGGGATATGGAGCAAGGGCGGGTAATTGGAGTTGAGGTACAGATCAGTCATGATCGTAAAGAATGGCAAAACAGGCTCGAGGTGCTGAATGGTCTAGTCCTGTTGTTCCTTTGTTTATGTTTTTCACACACAACGAGAGTCGGTATCGGCCTTTCAAGGTTCAGGCACGGCACACGTTCAGTCTACATTGAGCAAAGCTTTTTCTTTTCTGGCTCTGCTCCGTTTCCCACCCCCTTCCCCCATGTGGCCTCCCTGATTTCTCTCACGCCCTGTGCTCTTGGCCTCAGTGAGGCAGAAAGCATGTCGATGAACCTGACATAGAATGAAGGAAAATCAGAATGAGCGCACTTGATTCCACAGCAAAAACTATTGTCAACAACAACTTGGATTTATATAGCGCCCTCCATGCCTGACAGCGTCTCAGAGCTTCACAGTAACGGATCCCGGGGCCGAGCCAGGGGGAGGGGGAGGAAGGTGACCAAAGGCGCGGTTTAAAAGAAAGGTCTTCAGCATGTCAGTCTGTCTCTGTTGGTTTAATTTCAAGTTATTTGGCAGAGGGCACTGAGGCTAACACCCTGACTAAGCTCAGTGAACAACATGATTACTGAACATGCTTCATATCTGGGACTTGTTTGTTTACCTCAGAATCTTCCTCACAGGGATGATAATTGCTAACAGTGTCTTGAGGAGCAGTACATTAGCAGAGGTGTGACTTGAGCAACAACAACTTGCATTTACACAGCACCCTTCACACGGAGCAGCGACTTACAGTGCTTAACGGTGGTGGTGCCTGACGCCGAGTCGGGGCGGGAGGAGGTGACCTTAAGCACAGTCGAAGAGGAAGGTGATCAGTCGTGATCCAGAAGAGGGGAAGGAGGGAGGGAATGTGGGAGGGGGTTCCAAAGCACACAGTACAGTGGGTTTGTGTTACAGAGCATCTGTCATCCATTCTCTCTCGCCCCGTATTCATTTTGCTTTCCCCCATTTAGAGCTTGAGCCCAGTTCTGCCAGAAGGCTTGGCCGTGGCTACTTTGAAGGCCTTGTTTCAGGAGGTGCACGTACAGGTGAGGATGAGATGCCAGGTGGCTGTGATTGATAGACAAGGCCTGTAACATTCCGGTGATGTCACTGCAATTTCTCCATATGAAACGTGATGATTTTGCTTCCCAAGATCAGAAGAGAGGATGGGATGTAGAAGACCTTTTGATCTGGTATTCCCCTCAATATAGCCAATATCCTGTGATGGTTGCTCTATAATAATAATAATCCTTGCATTTGATATAGTGCCTTATCACGTTGTTGAGACATCTCAAAGTGCTTCACAGAATATACTGTAAATTGTAGTGACTATGTATTTAATTGGCGAAATTCGGCAGCCAATTGTGAACATCAGTGTCCCACAAACAGTTTTGGATTGAGTGACCAAATTATTCTTATTAATTTATTCTCTGCCAGATATTGTCGGCAGATATTTGAGTTCAGATTGTTTCAAAGGATTCACCTTCACCTCGTCCCTGCAGCAACATTACAGCAAAAAATTGTCCATTCAACTGAACATATTTAACTTGCTTCTCTGTCTGTCTGCCTCCCTCCCCCTCCTCTTAAGGCTGTGTGAGAAGTTTGCATATGAACAGTTTTCTCAGTAGCTTCTGTTTGTGTTATACTTCTTTCTGATCTTTGACTTTGATTTTCTCTCCCCTTCCCCCACAGTCTCTGATGCAGTCTGAAAGGCATTCAGTGTACAGCATTATCTCAAACTTCATGGAAACCAGAGAGAAAGGTATTGGTTCTTTTTACATTACTCTGTGCAATCAGCTGAGCATTTGCCTACAACACCACTCACCATGCCTGACTGTAATTACTTGCAACAGCAATAACTTTTACATGCATTTACATAGCGCCCTTCACGCAGGGCAGTGTCTTGGAGCACTTAACAGTGGCGGAACCCAACCACGAGCGGGGAGTAGGGAGGAGGTGACTAATGTGTTGGATTTCAGAGCTGTCTGTGACCTATTATTGTTTTATTCTCCATTTCAGAGCTGAAAGGTTTAGGGGCAGATTTCATATTCGGTTTCATTCAAGCGATGGATGGCGAGAAGGACCCCAGGAATCTCCTGATGGCCTTTCAGATCAGCAGAGAGATGGTCACCAAGAAATACGAGCTTGGTATGCAGCATCTCATGATTTCAGTTCATCCTTTGTTTTGGTCAATTGTAAAATGTTACAGCTCCAAAGAGGTCATTCAGCCCATTGCGCCTGTGCTGGTTCTCTGCAAGAGCTGTCAATCTCACTTCCCAAACCTTTCCACAGAATTTAAAGAAAAAGTCAAATTTCTTTCAAAAATGATTGAGGATTGTTCATCAACCATTGTTTTTCCTACAAACCCTGTTATAAGGTAACTTGTTTGCCTATAATGTGGGTCTCTTGTAGTTGGGCGGAAACCACCTGGCTTCTTCCACTAATAATCGGCTGTTACTGACATTGATTTCATGTCATTTCATGAAGGAAGCGATGTCAGCGTTGTTTCCTGTGCATTGATTCCATGTGCAGTGGACAGGAAGTGACATAGTAACGACCTGATGACCCAGATGGTTGCCATTTTTATAAGCGTGTTTCCTTATAACATGACAAATGAGTTTATGGATCCAATCGGCATGTCACAAGGGGTCACCCTGTAATCACTGTAAAGCGTCTTGAGACCACCATTGGTGGTCAGGCCTTCAGCCTCGCTGCCCCTTTGGAACTCCATCTCACAGTCCCTTTGCCTCAATCCCTCTCTTGCCTCCTTCAAGACATGTCTCAAGACTGTCCTCTTCAACCCCGCCTTCTGTCATCTCCTACCCCCACCCTCCCTGCTCTCCACCCCTACTGATCCCAACCCCCTACTCGGGTTCCCTGACTGTCCATGCCTTGGGACGTTGAGACATTTTGTTGTGTGAAGTGGTCACTATAAAAATACAAGTTCTTCAATTGAGCTCACGTTTTTGTTGCAGGAGCCTTCGTGGAGGAGCTGTTTGAAGTCACTTCATGCTACTTTCCTATTGACTTCACACCAGTAAGTTTACCGATGTTCCAACGTTGGGAATTTTTTCAGGCGGAAAGAAATGAGGCTTAGCTTAGGGTTGAGGACATATTTACAGCTTTACAAGTCTTATTAATGAGCGGTAATCTTCTCTATTACACGTCTGAGTAATGAGCAAGACAGGCAGCCAAACAACGTCTCAGATTACTGTGAACATGCCTGGATTCACAGTGTCTCCTCGGAGCTCGTTCACATTACCCATTTTGTCCACAAGGTGTATTCTGCTCATTTTGTTGACTTCAGAAGGAGACGGGTTAATTGGACCCATTGGGATTCAGTACCAGAAATCTTGTGCCAAGTCGGCTAATTGAGCTATCCTGGGGCAATGTTATGAAGCCTAGGGAGAGAAGGGGATGAGATTTGCTGACAACAGAGTGAGGATGCCAGGTGGGTGGAGTTGGAACCGTGTTTAGGATGGGTTATTGTGAGCTCAGGAGGAACGAGAAGACATTTTCCGTTGCTCGGAAAGCTCTTTCTGACCCTGTGCTTTACTGTGTCTCATTTCTTGCAGCCACCGAATGACCCGCATGGCATATCGCAGGAGGAGTTGATTCTCAGCCTGAGAGCTATATTGGCTTCCACACCACGGTTTGCAGAGGTATTTGCTGTTGATTTCTCTGTGGGCTCAATTTCCAATCCCCCCTTCGCTCTCCCCCATCCCCCCATATGCTGGATATGCAACAACAGCAACTTGCATTTGTAAAACACCCTTCACACAGGATAGTGTCGGGAAGGGGGCAGTCGAAGAGGTAGGTCTTAAGGTAGGATTTAAAGGGGGTGAGGTGGAGGGATTGAGGCAGTGAATCTAGAGGTTTATCTGCAGTATAATTAGAATGCACAAGGAGGGAAGTATTATTGTGACTGTTCAATGCACCTGTGAGACCACAGTTTAGGACTTGTGCAGTTTGGGCATCTTGATACAGAGAGGATGTGGTGACTTTGAAGCGAATGCAGTGTAGGTTCAAGGAAATGGAGAGATGATTGCGAAAGATAAATATCAGAGTATGTGGGGAGATGGCAGTGTAGTGTGTGTGGTGCTGTGGATGGTCTGAGCCTGCTCCTGTGTGTCGCTTGATGTAATATAGGAGTGAAATCAGGAGGCAGTTTTTCACATAAAGGGTAGTGGAAATCTAGAACTCTCTCCCCCAAAAGGCTGCGGATGCTATTTCTATTCACATTTTCAAGACTGAGGTGGATAGATATTTGTTAGGTCAGGGAATCAAGGTATATGGGGTAAAGGGGGGGTAATTGGACTTCAGGTACTGATCAGCCATGATTTTATAGAATGGCAGAACAGGCTCGAGGGGCTGAATGGCCTCCTCCCGTTTCTGTGAAGGTTTATATTAATTTATTCTGATACCAACAGTTCCTGTTGCCTCTCCTGATTGAGAAGTTGGACTCGGATGTTCAGCCTGCCAAGGTGGACTCTCTCCAGACTCTGGTAAGCAGAAGCTTCATCATTCAAGCTACCATTCACCAAGAACCTGTTGCATGCCTAGTAACAGAGCAGTCCTGGTTCCTGATTGAGAAGGAAATGACATTATTTGTTAATGTGGGGAAAGGGTGGGGGTGGGGTGGTGGTAGGTAGGCAGTGGTCCCTGGGGGATGGGAGTCTTCCTACCTGCCTCCTGGTAAATCTGAGCCAATGTCCCGATGGTGCTAGCTGGACAAGTGTTATACTGGATTGTCCACAAAGTCCTCTACAAACAACAATGGGCCTTCAGAGGAGCTGAAACAAGCTGTCAGAGCTGCATTTCACCTCCTCACTTCATCCATGTTACATAAGATGTGATGGATCATTATCTGCCATGAAAATGATGGCAATCACACACACACTGATCCTCTGGGCATCTAAATACAGATAAACACTTGTACTGAATAGAATTAAGTACTTCTGAATACAATTAGCATCATTCGTCCACGCATTTCAGTTGTTGGTCAGTGCGCCGTAGGGAAAAAAAACCTGAGGGTTGGGATCAAGAAGGTGGAGAACAGGGAGAGTGGGGGTAGGAGGGTGACCGAAGGTGCGGTTGAAGAGAAGGTTCTTGAGGTAGGGACACATTGTAGGGTCAGTGGCTGACTGAGAGTTGCCGTTAGCTATGATCGGGAGGTGGTTTAGCTGAGGGTAATTATCAGGTTAGTGTAACTGATTAAATACCAGCGTCAGGCCCCTGTTTACCGAGCTCTTGTGTTTTTCCTGTGTAGACCGCCTGCTGCAATGACTATAGGAAGAAAGAGGTGAAGGACTTCCTCCCGGCTCTCTGGTCTTCCATACGCAGAGAGGTAAGCCTCTGCGCTGAGCCAAGCTTACCTCTGCTGTTCTGATAAAGCGTTGGTTCTGTTCCCCATTCTCACTGCTGGCGATCAGAGCACTGTCTGTACTCGCTTGGTGTAACATGTCTGAACATATGTGTATTATGTGCTATGTGTAATGCATGTGTGTGTGTAGACCATACGTTTCAGAGTTTATGTTCCGTGTGTATACCGAAGGAAATAATTCTGTAACTAACCAATGTGAGGTTATTAGTTCTTATTAGTATTAATTAACAAGCAATCAATTCAGCAAATAATAATAATAATTTGGTCACTCAATCCACCACTGTTTGTGGGACACTGCTGTGTGCAATTGGCTGCCGCGTTTCGGCCACAAAGTCAATTCACTTTACCGTATATTCTGTGAAACGCTTTGAGATGTCTCAGAGACATGATTAGGAGCTATATCAAATGCAAGTATTATTATTATTTATTGGTGAGAGGGGAGGGGGAAGATCCCTATCACTTTGCCCAGGTGTTTGTATTAAATCTCTCTGTCTGTGCAGGTATTTCAGACGGCCAGTGAGAAGATTGAATCCGAGGGTCTGTCCGCACTGCAGGCTCTGTCCACCTGCCTGTCCAGGTCTGTCATCGATTCGGACGCTGAGGATTCCTTGGATTCCTTCCTGAACAATGTCTTACAAGGTTTCTTACTCCACACGCCTCTGTTTATCGAGCAGTAAATAGGAACCCAGTTGTTAGTCGATTGGCAGATCATTTTTTCGGGGGGAATAATTCCTTCAAAAAGAAAAATACTAATTTGGTCACTCAATCAACGACTGTTTATGGGACGCTGCTGTGCGCAATTAGCTGCTGCGATTTCCCCCTAAAATATAGTTAATCATTTTACAGTATATTCTGTGAAGCCATTTCAGATGTCTTGAAGACCTGATAAGGCGTTATATCAAATGCAATGATTATTATTATTATGGTTGGGCAACTGATTGAGTAACTAAGTGCTTCTCAATCTCTGTCTCCTCTCTTGTCTCTCTGTCTCTGGATCTCTTAACAAAGATTGCAAGCACCACCTGTGTGAGCCAGACATGAAGCTGGTGTGGCCGAGTGCCAAGCTCCTGCAGGCAGCAGCGAGTGGCTCGCACCGAGCGACCTACAAGATCACCACCTCTGTCCTGCCGCTGTTACTGGAGGAGTTCAACAAGCACACGCAGGTAAAGCCTGGCACTCTGTGTGTGTGTGTGTGTGTGTGTGTGTGTGCAGGGAACAAGACATTCACTGGAGTCGTGCTCATAACCCTTGTTTGGTACAGGACCCCGCAGTTTGGAACGTCTTGGAGCAGTTCACCAAATATTGCTGTCAGGTGCTGGAGTTGCAAAAAAAGAAATAGTCACACACACACACATATTTATATGGGGTGTATTGTTATCAAGGACATTGGGAGAAACTCTTCTTTTTTTTCCTGTTGTGTCACAATGGATCTTTGACATCCATCTGAACAGGACAATGGGACTTTGGTTTGAGCACAGCACTTACAACAACAACAACAACAACAACAAAATAATCTTTCCATTTGGTAACGCGCCTTATCACGTCATTGAGCCGTCTCAAAGCGCTTCACAGAATATACTGTAAAGTGAACTGACTGTATTTTGTGGGGGATAATGCAACGCTCCCTCAAGTATTGTACTGGAGTGTCAACCAAGGTTCTCATGACCTCTGACCCACAACAAGGGTCCTGCAGTCTGTGTTGCATCTTCCTGCAATATTCCTTCGCGTTGTTGCGGTCTGGAACGCTCTGCCTGAAAGGCTGGTGGAAACGGATTCAATAACAACTTTCAAAAGGGAATTGGATCGGGACTTGAAAAGGAAAAATTTGCAAGGGTACGGGGAAAAAGCGGGGGAGTGGGACTGATTGGGTGACTCTCCCAAAGAGCCGGCAGAAGCACGATGGGTCGAATGGCCTCCTTCTGTGGCATACGATTTTATGATTCTACATGGATCTAATGGGAGGAAATTCCTTTCTCTTTTGCAGAGCAGCCAGCGATGGACGATCCTGGGAATACTGGAGAGTTTTATTAAACTGACGCACAAGTGGGAGCGAGGCGAGGACGGTGAGTTGAGTGATGTCAACAACAGCAGGAGCTACAACTTGCTTTAATTAGCATCCCTCATGCAGGATAGCCTCACACACTCACTCACCTATACACACACACACAGTTCCATGGATGCCGGAGAGCACCTGTGGAACTGCACCCCTCCCAAACACACACCTCTAGAAGGACAGACTTGGAATGCCTTTAAGGGTGGGATAAAGAAGTGGACAGACTGTAGCAGTGGACAGTGAATGTATTGATCTCTTGTTCTGTTTTATTTCCCCGCACACACAGATGATAATCCTCTGAGTGCCTTTAAGGATCAGCTCTGTCTACTGGTGTTCTCTGCCCTGACTGACTCCAGTGTCCAATTACAGATTGTGGGAACCAGTACGTTGGCCGTCCTGGGCACACAGCAAGGTGATCTCCTTCACACTGACACCGTTTGAGCATCCTTTCATTGTGTGGAGTAAGGAAACCTTAGGCAAGTTTCCTCACTCCACACGCCTCTGTTTGCCGAGCAGCAAGTAGGACCCAGTTGTTATTTGATTGGCAGATCGCATTTCTGGGGATAATAATCCCTTCAAAAAAAAACATTTTGTGTTTTAAATTGGTCACTCAATCCACGATTGTTTGTGAGACAAAAATAGAGAGAGCTGAGAAAACCCAGCAGGTCAGGCAGCATTATGGAGAAAGGAAAGTGAGTGAGAACGAACGCACAATTGTTTGTGAGACAATGCTGTGCGCAATTAGCTGCCATGTTTCAGCTAAAATCACACAGGCAATCCACTGTACCTCTATTCTGTGAAGCGATTTGAGACATCTCAACAACGTAATAAGGCGCTATATCAAATGCAAGGATTACTTTCATTTCTGTCTTCACATTGCAGTAGACCCTTTGTAAAACTGGTGGACCATACCCCTTAATTCCCCCAATTCATTCCTGAGTATGCGCTCTCTAATTTGAATCATAAAATCCTACAGCACAGAAGGAGGCCATTCGGCCCCTTCGTGCCTTTGCCGGCTTTTTGAAAGAGCTTCCAGTCAGTCCCACTCCCCCACCTTTCCCCATAGTCCTACAATTTTTTTTTCTTTTCACGTTTACACCAAGGGCCTCAACTGATCCAGTTGCCTCTCATTTATGTAACCGTGTGTCAGTGTCTGGTCAGTGTGTAACTCTGTGCCCTCTCTCCTGCTGCAGGCTTGTTGGCCACTGCTGATGTGAAGTTAGCCGTCGATCATTTGAACAGACTTATACTAGAGGAGGGTGACCCACAGGTTTGGTGAGGATATGTTAAGCTCTCCCGACTGCACAAACCCTACACACTGGCCGAACACACGCTGGCCGTGGGCTGTGACCACAGTCTAGCACGTTCCAGGGTGTCAACGTGCCGACAGGGAGTTGGACATGAGATGTTGTCTGTCGTCTTTCCCCTCCATCATCCTCCACCAACAGCGGAGTCCCAAACTTGGGGATGGTGCTGTGAAGCCTGGGAGTCAGCCCGGGCTGGGGAGAGGTGGGGCAGGCGAGGGTGGGTCGTCTGGGAGGCCTATCACGTAAGGTCAGTGGGGCGGAGGGGCATCACGCTGAGCTTTGTCTCTCTGCCCACAGTGCTGCAGCGATGGCAGCCTCGGTCACCATGTCCCGGATACACCCCTCCGCCTTCATCACCAGGATGGTGCCAGCGATGACAGGGGAGCTGAGCACAGGTAGGCACCCGTGTGAGCTCACTGCAGAGACCAGGCTCGAGCTCCAACAGTTTATACAGTCCAGGGAATGGGGACACGCCCATTGGGTCTATCACACTTGCTCCTCTCTTGTCAGTGAGGCTTGTGTCCTCGGGTGTTTACCCAGTGAATGAGCCACAAACTGACTGACAACCACAGACTGTAACCAGGACCTTGGTTTACGTCTCTTTCAAAGGACAGCACCTCTGACAACCCAACACTACCCCAGCGCTGCATTGGAGGGTCAACAGTGACCATTGCTGAGTGAGAGGCCGGATTCTGCCAGTCTCTACCCTCTGGTTGCGAAACATGTTGGGAAGTGGAGTTGTTTAAACCCTGCTTTCTCCTGATCCCAGGCCACTGTTTCCGGAGACAGAGAGCAAGATCCTGGCGCTCTCTCTCTCTCTCTCTCTCTGTCTCTCACTCTGTCTGTGTGTTTGTTCCCTGTGTGTGTGGCAGAGCCAATGGAAGTGAAGGAGAGCAGGGGGTTGCTGAAGGCTCCACGTCAGCGCTGTGTGCAGGCACTGGCTGCCATCTCCACGCACCCCGACGTCCTGAGGCACACTGTGCCAGTCTTACTGCGCCATCTCATGGACATACAGAAAGGTGAGCATTTGTGGAGTCCTGTAGCTCAGTGGTTAGAGCACTCGCTTTGCAAGCGAGAGACCTGAGGTCAATTCCAGGCAGAGGGCGAAACCTCGGGCAAGTTTCCTTACTCCACACAGAGCCTAATAATAATCCCTCCAAAACCAAAAACAATAATAAATTGGTCATTTTCAATCTACGACTGTTTGTGGGACATTGCTGTGCGCAATTGGCTGCCGCGTTCGCCCACAAATATACAGTCAATTCACTTTACAGTGTGTTCTGTGAAGCGCTTTGGGATGTCCTCCCGACGTGAAAAGCGCTATATCAAATGCAAAGATTATTATTATCATTATATTATTATTTGTGTTCGAAACGCAACGAGGGGTGTGGAGTGCTGAGGGGGAAAGTGTTGGGGTGGGGGGGTTGGGGATATCGGGGTGGGGTGGGGGGAGTTGAGTCGTCCAGAACTTGTGACCTACATTTCAGTGAGTTGCAAATAGTGTTTGAAATCTCCCCCACTCCTTCCTCCTCGTTTGAATTAACTCCCTCCCCCCTACCTCTGGCTCCAAAGAAAAAATTAATTTGGCTCCTTTGTGGCACGTCACTGCCAGAGATTGGTGACTGCGTTTGTCTGTTTAACAAATACATTAAATATCTGTTTTCTTTGTTTAAGAAATGTGGAAAATACTGTCCAGTCGTGTGATGTTTTGGTATGGGGACAGGAAGTTATACCTTTGTGGCCTGGAAGAGTAGCTGTGCTGATCTCTGTGGGCTCTCTCTGTCCCTCTCTTTCTCTCCCGTCTACCTCTCTGTCCCTCTCTCTCTTGCAGGCAGTCTCTGCACAGAGGTGGAGGACGCAGTATCTGCCTGTCGGAGTCTGCAGCTGGTGGCGGAGCAGTGTCAGGTCGCTGAAGAAAGCAGCGAGTATTTCCACCAGACTGTGGTTCCCTGTCTGCTGGGGCTGGCGGTCAGGTCAGCGCTACAGGGTAAGCATCGATCAATCCCCCTCTTTCCCCCCTCCCCCCCCCATCTCCAAATCCTTCTCTTCCCCCTTATTCCAATCACCCTGAGGTGTCAGCCTGGCTCTCGCCTACATGTCAGAAGGTTGTGGGTTCAAATCCCACATCGGGACTTGAACTCCGACAGTCTAAGCTGAAGCTCCAATGCAGTGCTGGGGGGTGTTGCGCTGTGGGAGGTGCCGTGCTTTGGGTGAAATGTTAAACCGAGGTCCCGTCTGTCTGTTCAAGTGGATGTTAAAGATCCCGCGGCGCTGTTTGGTGATGGTGGGTTTCCCCACTCTGTGAAGCGATTGGGACGGATTGTTCTCCAGGTGCCAGGTTGCTGGTATAAGGCCCTGGACTGAAGGCTGATATTCAGGCAGACAGCTCGGGTGGTTACGTTCTCCACTTGTTTTTGCTGCAGGTTGTGGACCCAGCATCCTGTGTGAGGAGCCAGTCATCGCGGCCCTGGGGACAGTGATCAGCACAGCATACAGCCACACTCACACACAGTAAGTGCTGCTCAACACAGCCCAGCGTACAGCCGCAGTCACACACAGTACTCCACAGCCCAGCGTACAGCCACACACACAGCGAGTCCAGCACAGCGTACAGCCTAAAGCAGAACTTCAGACCTTCTTGATTTTAAACAAAACCCACGTATTTCAGACCAGCCTGCAGAACCATCGCCCGGGTTGTATCCCTGTATCTGGACGGAGACGCTTCCCTCCTGCCTGAGAACGACCTGCCCAGCACATTCCAGCCCTTCCAGGTCAGACACGACACATCACTGGCGCCCTGGGACACTACCCTGCATAACGGGCACTAGATAAATGCAAGTTGTTGCTGTCGTCTTGGGGAGAATGAAAAAGAGAGGCAACAAATTTATAATTAGGAATATAACAATCCTCTCTGTTTTCAGTCTTGAAGTGCAGGGAATCGTGGGGGGATCACACAAGGGCGGGGAGGTGGGGGGAGATTCTCAGCTTCCCCTCTCAGTAACTGAAGGCACTATATCAATGCAAGTTGTTGTCGGGACAGTTCCACAGTTAACCTCTGTTACCTCGTCTAAGTCGCCATTATATAGGAACAGAAATGGGCCATTCAGCTCCTCGAGTCAGTTCCGCCATTGTATAAGATCACGGCTGATCTGTACCTCAAGTCTAATTACCCCCCTTGCCCCGTATCCCCTGAAGCCCTGACCCAACAAATATCTATCAGCCTCAAATTTGAATGGATCCACAGCCACAGGAACAATAGGAAAGTCACAGGAATCTAAGATGTCCTCCCGACGTGACGAGTGAAGTGCCGTATAAATGCAATTTGTTGTTATTCCTGATGGTGAGTTTGGTCAGAATATCTCACTCCCCCGTATACAGTGTGTGTGTGTGTGTACAGGAGGTCTCTGGATAGCGTTTAGTCTCTGGCAGTGGTGACTGACCGCTGGCCTGGCCGACATCGGTAACAGTACCTGCATTCAACAGCAGGCGGCGCTGCGGGTGCAGTGTTCCCCTGCTGACTGACAGCACCTCCCCCAGGTGGCTGCTGGTACTGCAGGGATCAGCAGGAACACGAGGGTCGGAATTATTTTTGGTTAAAACAACAACAACAACTTGCATTCAGACCCAGCAGCCATATCCGGGGTCGCGTCTCGGAGGGACTGATATTGATGGGGGTTTTTTTTTTAACTCGACGTCCTCCCGAAGGTTGTTAGGGCTCAGAAAGGTCAGCAGAGGTATTTAGTTTGTAGCAACATTGAAATAGTGTGCTCGACCTGCTGCCCAGTCACTCACTGTGCCCTAACGTGTGTTTATTCCCCCCCCCCCCCCAGCCTGATGATGCAGCGTGCTTGCAGACTCAGTTGATCGCCCTACTCCAGGCCGCTGTGTGTTCACTGCCAAACAACGTGAGTATCCCAACGAGGAGATGAGACCGGAATGTGGTCTGAAAGCAAACCTCTCTCTTTCCCCGTCTCCTAAGCCTACAATATTCTTGTTCCTGTTTTCAGTCTGTCTGTCTGTCTGTCTCGCTCTTGAGGAGAGTCTTGTACAGGCAAGTAAAGTGTAGAGTGAGCTTATCATAGATTCACATGTAACAAGCTCTTTCATGTCGGAAGGACGTCCCAGTGTGCTGAAACTTTACTCTGTCTCTAACCTGTGCTGTCGCTGACCTGGGAGTGTGGACTCACAGTGTAGAGGCAGCTTTACTCTGTCTCTACCCGGTGCTAACCTGGGATGATTGTATGTGAGTTGGTTGTTGTTTTGGTGACCTTGTCTCTCTCTCTCCGGCTGCAGGTGGGTGTCCCTCAGCGGGATCGGTTGTTGGGGCAGCTGCTGGAGATGTGCTGTGTGAGCGGCCACCGCTTCACATACACATCGGCTGCCAAGTGCATTGCCGGGATCGTCAACAAGTATCCTGCCGGTAAGGACACTAGCCTGTACTTCCTGCTTAACCCTCTGTAACCTCCTCCAACCACACTCAAATGACCCTGTGTACCCGGGGGAGGAGAGAAGGGCTATGTAATCAGGGGAGGGGCTGTGTAGTTGTTCAAGCAGGGCACGGGGAAAGGGCTTTGTGTGTGTGCTGACATCCTCTTGTTGTAGGTGAGCAGTTGGATTCCATCCTTCAGGACATTCTGAAACGCATCGATTCAGGGCCACAAACCAACGCTGGGGACTGTTCGCTGGCCGCCGGCCGCACTCGAGGCTTCACATTGCTGCTGTGGGTAAGCAGCCCCTTTCACAATGTTTCCCAGTTTATCTGTGACTCGCGCTGGGCACTGTTCCATGGCCCAATGGAGATCACTGTTCCTGGGTTCCTCACGGCTGCGTGTGGGACAGACACTGCTGTGCGCAATTGGCTGCCACGTTTCACCCACAAAATACACAGTCACTACACTTTACAGTGTATCCTGTGAAGCGCTTTGAGACGTCTTGAAGACGTGATAAGGCGCTGTGTCAAATGCCAGGATTATTATTATTATTATCATTCACTTCATGACCTCTGTGTGCAAGTTGGCTGCCTCGCTCACTTACAAAATAGAGTCACTTCACATAAATAGTGGCTGAGCTCTGATCTTACCCATGTACAGATGTTGGTGGGGTGGGAGGGTGTGGAAAGAGGAGGGGCATTAGATGGTGAGTGAAGTGGGATCCGTGGCTGGTTTTACCTGGAGGGCGGTGGGATGTCGCTGTGGATTGAACATAATTTATTTAACTAAACTTCTCTCCACCCACCAAACCTGTCCTGGGTTCTGTGTCTCTGCAGCTAACGAAAGCACTTGTTCTGAGATACCATCCCCTGGCCACTGCACTGACAGACAAGGTAAGGCACCCTCTGCGAGCTGTCACCAGTCCTTGTTGTAAATTAAATCACGTTTGTCACCTGGAGCAGAGATTGAGAAGCGAGGGAAGGTGATTAATTAATGGTCTCCTCCCGCCCTCATCTCTCTGTCTCTCTCTCTCTCTCCCACCCCCCCCTCCACTCCCTGCCTAGTTGCTGTGCTGTTAGCAGACCCGGAGCTGGGGCCGGAGGCAGCGGACGGATTCTCGCTGCTGGTGAGCGACTCCACGGACGTCCTGAACCGAGCCTCTCACGCCGACATCCGCATCATGTACCGTCAGAGGTTCTTCACAGAGAACGTTCCCAAACTGGTGCAGGGCTTCCACTCTGCCGGGAAAGGTCAGTCACAGGCCTCACTCACTGTGTATTCACATAACAATAATAATATTTGCGTTTGATACAGCGCCTTATCAGGTCATTCAGACTTCTCAAAGCGCTTCACAGGACACACTATAAAGTGTAGTGACACTATGGGCTGTTGGAATTTCTTGAGGGCTCTGCCCCCTTTGGGAGCCTCCAGGTTAGGCTTATAAAACGTTATCTCTTGCCAAGCCCCATCCTCAGTCCTGCACTGACGTTACTGCAGTGTCAGAGCTGCCTGAGAAACATGCATCCAATGTTCCTGAATTGGGAAATCTCCTTGGCTCAGCACTCTTGCTTCTGGGTCATCAGGTGGCAGGTTGAATCCCATCAAGGACTTTGAGGTCAATGTAGTCTTGGGATGCCCTCCCGACACGAAAGGCGCAATATAAATGCAAGTCATTATAGAGTGATGCCGTTACCTGGGAACTGCTGCATTGTAGGAAGATCCTGTCAGGTAATGATGACCTGATATCTGATTGAAATCTAATCTTCACTCATTTATGACCTTGTTCTTTGCAATGTGTGGGAAATCGTGCCTGGGGTAAGGTACAAAATAGTATTTTGTACTACAGAATGTGTTGTAGACGACTGTTTGTGGGACGCTGCTGTGTGCAATTGACTGACACGTTTCGCCCACAAAATATTCAGTTGATTCACTTTACAGTGTATCCTGTGAAGCGCTTGGAGACACCTCAAAGACGTGTTAAGGCACTATATCAAATGGAAGGATTATTATTATAATTATTATTATGGTGGGGTGTGTTGTAGACTCCAGTAACAAAGATGGTGACACTGGTATCAATATACTTTGGCTTACTTTGAACGATATTCTGACTTTATCCTCATCCATAACCGTCAAAACACCGTTTTCTTTACAGATAACAAGTCCAACTACTTGAAGGCACTTTCTCACGTCATGAACAGTCTCCCGAAACAGGTCCTGATGACGGAGCTGCCCTCGGTCAGTCCACACACTCTCTGTGCCAATGTTGTTGTAGAAAATCCGTGCCCTGAGGTCACTCGTAATTGGCTTGTTGATTTGGGTTTTATTCACCACCCCCCACCAGCTCATTCATTCTTCCCGCTCCCTTCTATGCTGTCTGACCAGTCCGATGGCTCTTTGGCAAGTGTGTTTGGGGATAAATGAAGGAGAAGACTATAAAAACCTGCCCGGTGAGTGGATCAAACTCGGTGTACTGTTTCCTGGGAAGCTGTTCCATAGGCTCCCTCCAATCGACTAACAACCGAGTTCCTACTGACTGCCAGGTAAACAGAGACGTGTGGAGTAAGGAAACTAGTCTAAGGTTCTGCCCTGCCCGGGAATCGAACCCGGATCTTCTCGCTTGCGAGGCGAGTGACCTAACCACTGAACTACAGGACTCCACAGGATTAGGTTTAATTATCTCTCTCTCTCTCTCTCTGTTCACAGCTGCTGACGCTGCTCCTGGAGGCTCTGTCCTGCTCAGACCAGGTGGTGCAGCTCTCCACGCTCGGCTGCCTGCACCCGCTCCTCCAGGAAGCCCCACAGATAGTCAGTCTGCACGTGGACACCCTGATCAGCAAACTCCTCAGTCTGGCCACCAGCCCCACCATGGTACATGCACTTCATAACGGGGTGTGTGTGTGGAGTGGGGGTGAGCCAGAGTGTATTTAATAATAATAATAATCTGACTGGGATTTGAACATGAGGCCATCTCTCTCTGGCCCTGTGGAGTTGCCGCAGACTGTAACCGGTTGTGCCTGGCGTTGCCGGGCAGCAGCTGCTGTACTAACGCTCCACGCTTCTCCTTTACAGAAGGTGCGGATCGCATCGCTCCAGTGCATGCATGCAATGACCCGCCTGCCTACTCACGTGGTATGTGACCTGCAGTCACACTGGGGGATGGGTTGGAGATGAGGGGGGGTGGCGGGGAGGGGGCTGCTTTTCAGTGGAACACAGCAAGTTAAAAGGGGAGATCACACAAAGCCTTGGGATAGACAGTGAGAGTTTTATTTAGGGCCACAAACTCGGCGCTGTTCGGGGGAGATTATTTTTCATCCGGGGGAATTATTAATAGGAAATATTTTGCTACAGCTACAGGAGGGGAGTGGGAGACTGCGATCATCATTTATAACAGGGAGTTAGATACTTGCTTAATAGAGGAAGAGTTAGGAAAGAGGCAGGAAATGGGGTTAGAGTGGAGAGCTCCAGTGGGGGAGGGAGCAACAGCACAGACACAATGGGGTGGATGTTCTTCCTTGGTTTTGTGAATCTCTTCAGGATGTTTCCTGATGTTGCGGTTCTCTGCTCTGCTCTCCCCCAGATCCTCCCACACAAAGCTCGCACCATCCGGGCTCTGACCCAGCCACTGGACGACAAGAAACGTCTTGTGAGGAAAGAAGCCGCCTTGGCCCGAGGAGAATGGTGGGTGTGAGAGACTTTGCCTCTGATTTTAATGCCAGTCTGGCACAGGCTGAGAGTGAGAGCTCACAGTCCAGGCTGGCGCAGCGCTGGGGGTGTGGGGGAGTGCAGCATTGTCAGAGGCTCTGTCCTTCATGTGAGACATTAAATCCATATCCCATCGGTGCCTGATGTTAAAGATCCCGTAGCACTGTTGGAAAAGATAAGGGACTCTCTCTCTCGGCCGACAATCCCCCCAAGAAATTGCTCGTTCACCTCACAACTGTTTATGGGACGTTACTGCACAAACTGGATTGACTGTGGGTTAAATGGGCGAAACACAGCAGCCAGTGTCCCACAAACAGTCGTGAATTGAGTGACTAATTTGTGCAATTAATTAACTAATTAATTATTCCCTCGTGTGTGTGTGATGCAGGTTTCTGTTGGGCAGCCCTGGGAGGTGAGATCGCAGGCGCGGAAGGGGACAGCTGACCAGACAGAACCTGGGAACATAGCACAGAGTGACCGAACAGCACAATTCCTGAGTTACTTCAACAACAACAAATAACCCCAACAATAACACGAACATTGCTATAAAGAGCGTCCGGTTCAGGTGACGACTGACCGGTGAGGGGAGCATGTCAAAGATGAGCACATTTCATTCTCCATCACGTGTGTGTACATGCGTGTATGTGGTGGTTTCTGCACTGTTGTACGGAATAATAATCCTTGCATTTGATATAGCGCCTTATCACGTCTTCGAGACGTCTCAAAGCGCTTCACAGGATATACTGTAAAGTCAATTGACTATGTTTTTGGGTGAAACGCGGCAGCCAATTGTGCACAGCAGCGTCCCACAAACAGCCGTGGATTGAGCGACCAAATGTGCGATAACCTTTAGGATAAAAACAGGTTCCTGATAAGAGTCTGAAGCAAAGATTTGTGCAAGTCTGACATTTCCCTGGTATCTGGCACTGAGCACAGTCTCTGCACATTAGGGCGCACAAAGGGTAAGTAAGCCAGTTACCTCTCCAGTGAAGCTCGCCACTCACTGTGGCACTGGCTGGGGTCTGGTTGAGAGGTTTTGTGGGGGTGGGATGACACGTAACAGATCCTAGAAGTGAGTTACCTGCTGGAGTCTAATGTGACCTTCACAGGCTGACATAGCGGAGCTATTTGGAAGTTGCAGCTGAATGCTAAGCATTTTACTCGTCTTGATATTATTTCAAAGCTGTGAATGGTTGTTTTTATTCTCCGTGTGTTCCTGACCCGGACAGTCAGGGTGAGAGAGGGTCTGGTGGTGGGGGGGAGAGAGCGTGAGGTGTTTATTCTAATGGCAACTAGAACTGATCCCGATTGTGTGGCTTTGTGCTGCTCCGACTGTTCCCTGCCGCCCCCCCTCCCTCCCCCCGCAAGTGAATATGGGTAACATATATTAATATTGAGCTAACAACACACTGACCTCGAGTGTTACAGACTACGCCAGGCTGGGCTGACTTGACGGCTGTATGTGCTTGGAATATTGTAACCTACACTGAACAATGAGCTGGTACTTGCACAACCCCCCCACACCCGGTCTGCTGTACATTTATCTCTTGGTGTTGTTGAGCTAATCGCTTGGGGCACTGGGTGAGGAGGGTGGGGAGTGGGGAAGGTGGAAGCGCGTTCTGCTAAGGTACAGCCTATCCCTGTCTCTGCCTATTCTGGATCCCCTTTTGGGCTATTTCTGAATGGATCGATCTGTGACACTGACTGGCGGGAACGCCACTCCGACTGGGATTCCCTCACTTGGGAGAGAGAGACCTGTACAATGTCCTACTACAGTCCCCACAGTGACTTTCCCCCTCCTTAAAGCTGATCAAGAAATCTGGACAAACTGACTCCTCTCTGTGCTGGGTTAAATGCTACCCTCCCGCTCCACTCTCTCTTCCTCTTTCTCTCCGTCTCGCTCATGTTCTCTCTTTCCCTCCCAAGCCCAAGAGCCGGGGCTCCCACCCGCCGGGGCTGCCACCCGCCGGGGCTCCCACCCGCCGGGGCTGCCACTCGTTGGGGAGAAGTGCCTGATGAGGTGTAAGTGCAATCTGTGCTCCTATAACAGCTGCTGTTTGTGAGATTAGTGACGGTGTGTAACAGGGGTTTGCAGGGTCACAAAGCCACAGTATTAATCTCCCGCCACATCGCTACTTACCGTGTCCGCGGGTTGTGAAACGCACAATTCCTGATTTTTTTTTAATTAAAAAAACTGTAACTTGCGGCTTCTGTACTGAACGACATACGTTTTCGAAACGATTAAAACATTTGTACCAAATATTCTACGATTCTCCCTTCAGGTCGAGTTGTTTTTGGTGATGTTTGGGATTCCCTTTCCTGCACTCCAGGGTCCCAGAGTAGAAAAGTTTCTCAGTAATTGCTTTATCACAGCATTTATTCTCCAATATAACAATGGCCTTTAATAGAAACCTTACACTGAGACTGAGTGATTTGTACAATATTGCTTTCACCGGGGAACACGGGCTTTAATAATTAGTGATGATCCCCTCCACTTGACTGTTTACAGACCCCCAAACTACAGACAATCAGCGTGAGGACAGTTTGGGTGAGGGGGTGGGAGGCAGTGTGGGTGGGGGGTGGAGGGGGTGGCATCAGCCTGTTTTTACTCCTGATTCAGACTCACTGGGTACAGGATCAGAGGTTGGACCCGATGAGGGGGAAAAGGCATCGAGAAACCAGGAGGTGATTGGGATAGGGTTCCCTCCATTGGGAGTGAATCCAATGGGAAGAGGTTTGGTTCATTGGGATTGTGTGCAGTGGGAGGGAATGGGTTCGGCCCAATGTTTGGGGATAATTATAATCCTTGCATTTAATATATTTTGTGGGCGAAACACGGCAGTCAATTGCACAGATAGTGTCCCACAAACAGTGGTGGATTGAGTGACCAAATTTTTTTTTTTTTTGGAAAGCATTATTACTCTGGATCTGACTAACAACCGGGTTTCTACTTACTGCTAGGGTTCGTCCCACCTGGCAATCGAATCCAGGTCCTCTCGCTTGCGAGGAAAGTGCTCTGACCACTAAACGACTTAAATTGGACGAGTTTGCTGCAAGCTCAGGTCAGTTGTCCCCCTCCATTCCAATCCAGGGGCTTAAACACGAGGTTCTTCACTCCGGACACAAGCACTTCCCAGTTCAACGTCAGTCAGACAGACAGACAAGACAGTGGAGGGAGGAAAGGAACTAGTTATCCTCTGCATAAAAAAAAGTGTCTCTGAATCCAATAAATCTTGTTAAACAAACATTGTACAGAGAGAGGAACAGGCCAAAGGGCAAAGAGACAGGCGAAAAAATGTCTTGTTTAAAAAAATGTTAACAGTCCTGTTCAATTCAGTCCGACCAGCTTCCCCCTGCTCCGCCACAGTGTGGTCGCAGCTCAGCGATGCTCTTGCTGCTGCAGGTGGGGGTCAGTCTTGTTGCTGTGACCCCCAATCACTGACCACGTGGGTCCCTCCCTCACCCTGAGATCAGGTGAGAAGATCCAGACACACGCGCTGCTCGCTCTCTCTCTCTCTCTCTCTCCTCCCCACACGCAGGAGTTCCTCCCGCATTCTCTTCCCACTTAAATAGCCAGGACCGTGCGCTCTGTCTCCAGGCTCTGCGGGAGCTTCCATGTCAGGCCGTCCCCGTGCGGAGGGTGAGAGGAGGGGAGCAGCACCCGGGTCAGCCAGTGCCTGAAACACAGAGAGTCTGTCACTGCCAACGCCCCAGTGTGTGTGTGTGAGTGTGTGTAAGACGGTGTCCTGTCAGTCAGTGACTGTCTTACCTCCTCTTTTCGATGCCGAGAAACAGTTTCAAGTTGTTTAACTTGCCGGCATTAAAGGGGTTCCGAAAAACCTGGGGGGGGGGGGGGGAGACGACCACAGAGAGAGAGGTAATGTCAGCACCGAGACTTTGTCTAAAACCATTCCGCCTCGCTCCCACCCCCCCAAACACACACAGCACCCCCCCAAACACACACAGCACCCGCTCCACCCCCCCAAACACACACAGCACCCCCCCAAACACACACAGCACCCCCCCCAAACACACACAGCACCCGCTCCCACCCCCCCAAACACACACAGCACCCCCCCCAAACACACACAGCACCCGCCCCCAAACACACACAGCACCCCACCCAAACACACACAGCACACCACCCCAAACACACACAGCACCCGCTCCCCCCCCAACACGCACAGCACCCGCTCCCAAACACACACAGCACCCCCCCAAACACACACAGCACCCACCCCCACCCCCTGTGGCTGTTTACCCAAAGTGACTGAGCACCAGGCTGAGGCCCCCCCAAGCTGTCACTCTCTCCTCTCCGCAGACTCACCCGGCCTCTCTTGAGCTGCCGCTGCTGCTCCTTCTTGTTGATGTGCCGCTCGATGCTGGTCCTCCCCCCGCAGATCAGGACAGTGTGCCAGAGGGTCAGCCCACTGAGGGCCAAGGCCACCGAGCTGTGAGGAGGGGAGCAGCAGCTGCAGTTTACGACGGCATTGACACGGTGTCTGAGCTCTGCACAGTGCGGGCCGAGCGAGGGAGAATAATAATAATAATCCCTGCGTTTGATACAGCGCCTGATCACGTCTTCGAGACGTCTCAAAGCGCTTCACAGGATACACTGTAAAGTGAATCGACTGTGTATTTTGTGGGCAAAACGCGGCAGCCAATTGTGCACAGCAGCGTCCCCCAGACAGAATGACCAAATTTAATCCCCAAACAACCTCGGGGATTGTCAGCCAGGACACCGGGGGGGTGGAGGGGGTGCGTGTGTGTGCATGGGTGGGGGGCGGGAAGTGTAATGCGTGGGGGGTGTGAGAGGATGGGAACAGTGTGTTACACAGCGCGCGGTGCTAACACAGGGAGCGGATGTCGGCACTGACCTGCACAGGACCCAGAGGTAGATGATGCATTTGTGAAAAGCCCTTTCTCGAAACGAAATAGTGGGAGCGGAGGTCTGTGTGTCCGGCTGTGGGGACAAGGGGGACAGTGTTCAGATTGGAACCCCCCCCCATACTCCACCCTCCCCCACCAATACTCCACCTCCCCCCCACCCAATACTCCACCTCTCCCCCCCACCCAATACTCCACTCTCCCCCACCCAATACTCCACCTCTCCCCCCCACCCAATACTCCACTCTCCCCCCCACCAATACTCCACCTCCCCCTCCACCCAATACTCCACCTCCCCCCTCCACCCAATACTCCACCTCCCCCCCATACTCCACCTCCCCCCACCCAATACTCACCTCCCCCTCCACCAATACTCCACCTCCCCCCACCCAATACTCCACCTCTCCCCCCCACCCAATACTCCACCTCCCCCCCCCCAATACTCCACCTCCCCCTCCACCCAATACTCCACCTCCCCCCCCCAATACTCCACCTCCCCTCCCCTCCAATACTCCACCTCCCCCCACACAGACTGAACACTGAGCTTGTGTCTGTGACTGCCAACCCCCCACAACCCCCCCCCCACCCCACACACTCACATCGATGGCGTTGAAGGCTTCGGTGAAGAGCTGGCGGCTGCTGACGCTGCAGTACACACAGCCCAGCGTCATGGAGAGACAGAAGGAGAAGAAGTAGCGGTGGTTAAAGTGCCCCACGCAGTTGTTGAGCCAGGCTGGAGGGGGACGGGTTGAGGAGCAAGACTCGGTGAGTAGAGATTCCCGAGCGCAAGGGCTACAGGCCAGGCTGCCTACACTGAGCGCACCCTCCACAACAACAACAACAACTGCCTGCATTTACACAGCGACCGTCACATGGGGTAGTGTCCCTGAGCTCTTGACAGTGGGCAGAGTCCGACACCAAGCCGGGGGGAGAGGGGGAGGTGACCACAAATACGATCAAAAAGGATTGGGAGGAGGGGGGAGGGGAGGGGAGGGCAAGGCAGAGGGATTGAGGGAGAGAGTTCCACTGTGGTTACTTGCACTGCAACTGAGACCCCCTCCTCCCCGACACAATAACAATGTGTGTTCATACAGCGTCCGTCACACGGGGCACCATCTCACAATCGCTCCTGGGGGGAGTTGAGGACGAGCAGCGGGGAAACCCGGCCACATAAACCCTGCACTGACGAGAACAGGGAAAGGATACGGCAATGATGGTCCATCTTCAAGATGCACCTGAAATAATAAAATCAGAGAATTATACCACTGGAGCTCTCTCCTCTAACCCCATTCCCTGCTCTCTCTCTCTCTCTCCCCATCGTGTCTGTGCTGGGGCTCTCTCCCCCACTGGAGCTCTCTACTCTAACCCCATTCCCTGCTCTCTCTCTCTCTCCCCCATCGAGCCACCCCCACCGCCACACTGCGGCCCCACTTACTGGTTGCAGATGCTGCAATGGTGCGTGCGAGCCGGTTTGGGAGCAATGCATTTCCTGCAGATGGACGCCATCGGAACGTCTGTTTTCTCCTGACGGGGAATCACAGAACATCACCTCAGAGACCGAGCAACACACCCTCTACACTGACCACCCACACTCCCAGGTCAGTGACAGCAGCGGTTAGAGTCGAGAGTAAAGCTCCCTCTACATTTGATATAGAGCCTTATCACGTCTTCGAGACGTCTCAAAGCACTTCACAGAATATACTGTAAAGTGAATTGACCGTTTGTTTGCGCACAGCAGTGTCCCACAAACAGCCGTGGTTTGAGTGACCAAATTATTATTTTATTGATCATTTTTTGTGAAGGGATTCTTATCCTCGGAAATCCGCCAATCGACAAATAACGCGCTCCTGCTTACTGCTGGTAAACAGAGGCGTGTGGAGTAAGGAAACTTGCCTAAGGTTTATCCCTGCCCGAGAATCAAACCACTGAGCTACAGGACTCCACTTGGTGAGTGCCGGGCGCTGTGAGGTTACTCTCTCTCTCTCTCTCTTACCTGTGGGGGGTAGCCGGGGCTGGAGGTCACAGCCTTGTAGTAATGGAAGACGATGAGCAGCAGGTTCCAGTGGCCGTAGCCCAGGTGCCAGGTGATCCAGCCCGCACTGTAGGTCCGCACAATGACGGGCAGGACACACACATAGACAATCAGCACAATGGTGCTCGTCAGGAAGATCACCATCACCACAAACACCTGCAGGAGAGAGACAGACAGACAGAGAGAGAACTGTGGTGGGAATGTCTCAGGGGGGCACAGGAAGGGGGAGGAGGGGTTGACAAGTGGGGAGACGGGAGCTCAGTCTCGTGGTTGTTGACGGAGGAATTGGGGACAGGGTTTGAGGGCAAGCGTTTCCCTCAGAGGCTTGTCTGGGTTTCGGGGGTGGGAAGGGGGGGTTTGGGGGGGAGTGGAGGGTTGAAGTAATATACAAGTGACTCACCACCCCGAACCACCTGGTGACGTGGTCGACCAGCCAGTAGATGGGCTCGAAAAGGGAGTCGAGGACCACGTCCCAGTTGGTGAAGGAGTTGTAGAGGAGGGAGTCCGCACACAGCCTGGCGTAGGCCCAGAGAGCACGGGCACCGAGCAAGGGGTCCCCACGCCGGGACCGGGGGCGACGGGGGCATCTCAACAACACACGCATCCCTCTCCACAACATCCTCAACGGTGTCCTCATCGCACGCAGCTCAGCTCAGCTCAGCTCAGCTCCCTGCCAGAGAGACACAGCGATAACACAACAGCGGAGGCTGTTAACCCCTCACCCCCCACACCCACATATATACGCACAACACCCCCAGGGTTAGATTCCAGCCTCTCTATGTATCTATGTATAAACCAATCCCCAGATTAAATTCCAGTCTCTAACTCTCTCCCGAGGGGGGTTATTCTATACATACCCCCCAGATTAGATCCCGAGTGTAACCCTCAGCACGTGTTGGGATGAGACTGACGGACGTCACGGTTTAAACGCAGCCTCTTACCGTCACGGAGCAGATGCGCTGAGAGCAGGAGAGGCCGAGAGCCACAGCAACGATACTGGGCTGGGGGAGTCGGACATTGTGAGTAGGAGCTGTGTGTGTGGGGGGGGAGGCTGTGTGTGTGTGGAGGGGGGGGGGAGAGGGAGAGTGTGTGTGGGGGAGACTGTGTGTGGAGTGGGGGGTGAGAGGGAGTGGTAAGTTTGTGTGGGGTGAGAAGGTGTGTGGGGGGGGGGGGGTGAGAGGGTGTCTGTGGTTGGGGTGGGGGTGAGGGCTTTGATGGACTCTGTTTGAAGCCGGGTCACCGTTGAGGACGGTCAGTCAGCATTGACGAGATCTGGGGGGAGGAGAGAATATCAATGACCAACTCAGGTCCCAGTGTAGAGTAGCTTAACATCTTACCTGGGAATAGCTGCCGTGAGTCGTTTCCCCCCAACACACACACACCCACCCCCCCACACACACACACACCACACCCCCCCCCCACACACACCCACCCACACACACCCACCCCCCCACACCGCCCCCTGTACACACACATACATCCCCCGCACACTTCACAAAGGTAAAGCAGTGAGACCCTGCGTACATCAGGGGCTAACATGCAGGAGCACCCCCCCCCCGCCCACCCTCACCTCCCTGTGGTTTGCCTTGTGGGGGTAAGGAGTGGGGGTGTGGGGGCGAGCGGCTGAGACAACGGCTTCGGTAATTTGGGATGAATTTCACTCCGAAGTTCCTTGAAGCCGAGGCTGAATTATTGACGAGTTGCGCCGATGTTTGATAATTAATGGGGACGGAATTCACACAATCAAACTTCAGCATAAACACTCCCTCTGGTGTGTGACAGTCGGTATATGGGTGAGAGTGTGTGTGTGTGCGCGACAGTGAGTCAGAGAGAGTGCGTGTATACGAGTGTGTATGCGAGTGAGAACGTGTGTGGTGTGTGTGTGAGAAAGACAGAGAGTGGCTCACACTTGCGGAGTCCTGTAGCTCAGTGGTTAGAGCACTCGCTTTGCGAGCGAGAGACCTGAGTTCAATTCCAGGCAGAGGGCCGAAACCTTGGGCAAGTTTCCTTACTCCACACAGAGCCTAATAATAATCCTCCAAAACCAAAAACAATAATAAATTGGTCATTTTCAATCCACGACTGTTTGTGGGACATTGCTGTGCGCAATTGGCTGCCGCGTTCGCCCACAAATATACAGTCAATTCACTTTACAGTGTGTTCTGTGAAGCGCTTTGGGACGTTCTCCCGACGTGAAAAGCGCTATATCAAATGCAAGGATTATTATTATTATTGTGCGTGTGGTGGTGGTGAGGGAGGATGATGGCGCCACAGAAACCTCACTCACCGCTCTCAGCACAAAACAATTTATAAACGTGTTATAACTTCCCTAAACTCC